GTTTGACGTATAACGCGAAGCTTAAAGTTTCTTTTGTGACGTAATTTGTGTAATTTTTTTGAAAGTCATTCCATTGTATCGCACAATATGTTATGTTATATTGATACAAAGCTACATTTCTAAACATTTTATTTTATGAAGGATTGGGTAACGCAGTCAGCCCAACTCATCACCCTAGTCATCATCACTCCACTCGGAATCCATGGCGAACCACACGAAATCCCTGGAATCCATGGCGAACCACACGAAACCCCTGGAATCCATGGCGAACCACACGAAACCCCTGGAATCCATGGCGAACCACACGAAACCCCTGGAATCCATGGCGAACCACACGAAACCCCTGGAATCCATGGCGAACCACACAGAAGCCCTGGTGGCAAACCACTGAGTCGCCATGGAAACCGACCAAAGGTTGGTGGGAAACAACCCGAAGACCCTGGTGGCAAACCACGGAGTCGCCATGGAAACCGACCAAAGGTTGGTGGGAGACAACCCGAAGACCCTGGTGGCAATCCACGGAGTCGCCATGGAAACCGACCAAAGGTTGGTGGGAGACAACCCGAAGACCCTGGTGGCAATCCACGGAGTCGCCATGGAAACCGACCAAAGGTTGGTGGGAGACAACCCGAAGACCCTGGTGGCAATCCACGGAGTCGCCATTGAAACCGACCAAAGGTTGGTGGGAGACAACCCGAAGACCCTGGTGGCAATCCACGGAGTCGCCATGGCAACCGACCAAAGGTTGGTGGGAGACAACCCGAAGACCCTGGTGGCAAACCACTGAGTCGCCATGGAAACCGACCAAAGGTTGGTGGGAGACAACCCAAAGACCCTGGTGGCAAACTACGGAATCGCCATACACAGTGAAAAAGAAGTAAAGTTAAGCTACACATAAACGCTAGAAACTCTGGGAAATAAGGCATGGTTAATTTTACTGAAAGTGGACAAAATCGTTTACGTTTACTCAATATTCTTTGCAGTTAATTGGTTAGTTATTTGGAGTTCTACTGTTGTAATCAAACTTAATAAACTTTTAATCATGCATTCAAGTGTTGTATGGGTGTGTATGTGTTTTTTCCATCAGTGCATGCACTGTAAAAACAGATTGGTTAAAATAACCATCTTGAATGGCTGATTTCAGCTATAGACTACATTTTGATCCGGGGAAGAAGAAATCCATCACCACAGCTAGTAAGAGCATGTTAAAATTAGTAAAATTGCAAAGTTTGGCCGACAAATGCTGTAAAATATGGAAAATATAGCCTTGCGAAATTTGCAAATTTTGTATTAATTTGTACGCGCGGGAAAATGCACCATATTTGGACCGAAAGTGGTGCATTTTCCCGTGCGTAATACAAATTAATACAAATTTTGCAAATTTCTCGTTTTCTTATACACCCTGTTCCCAGATTGTCTTTTCATTGTTTTGAAAACTCCCATATGCACGATTTCAACTATTGGCCATATGCCATCCAGTCAATTCCTGCTGAATTAATTGGTACAGGCGGTATAGCGAAATCAGTCGAAGCCACGGAGCAGACGAAATTGAGCTTGATTCGTACGTGTAGACTCTATTCTGGTGCATCTAAAAATGATGGAAACACAGACGCTTCAATTAGATGTCTAGAGCAACGCCAAAGGACTGTTCTATTGAGAGTCAGAGTTAGATAATGCGAGAGATATTTAAATGGCGCCTAGAAATTCCATATGAAGACATGCAAGCCACAATGTTCGCGATTATGTTCATCGTTTGAAGGATTCACCTATGCATATATGCTGACCGAACAACTCATGAGATGTAGGCTACAAATTATCGAACCATCGAATTAAGGTATATAATATACGGGTACAATTCATAACATGTTTGGTATGTGGTTCCAATGTAATTGTTTATAGTATAATTTAGCTGCCTGCCTGCCAAAAGTAAATCGACGCGATTCAAGACTCACCGGGAAAATATAGTCATGAAATCCAACTGTGGATGTCAATAAATATTTTAACCTATATATAACAACCGAGGCCTTTAAACTATTAACTACAGTCACTGGAAATTTTCTTGAAAATCCTTTACTAAGGAAATAGCATCAATCATCGTTGGAAATAGTATGGAAAGGCCAATTTTCATACCAATTGCAAGTTCCACACTATGAATAAAGACTGGACCAGGAATATAAACATGGTTTGGGAATGCAATTGCAAATTCCACAGCATGATATATGTCATATATAAATTGCGTATTAGTAATCGGGCCTTGTGTGTGATAACAAGTACGATCGTGCTATAGTGGCCAGGAACCCAGTGCGTGGCCGAGTTCCGATCTTGTGGAAATCGCTAAATGTTCAAAACCTTCGAGATTTTGACTTGATAAACAAATAACAATAGTACAAACTTGACTTCGTCAACTTTGCACTAAAAATGAATAATCTAAATTACTGCTCAGTCGTGGCTTCGTAACTGCACGCTTGTGCTATAACAACAAATTGACATGCATGTCTTTGTTTTAACGGTTCGAGATTTTCTATATTCTATGCATATCCATTTTTCACAAACGTTTTCCTCTAAGTGGAAACACAAGCATGATCGTCCAAAAGCTATAGGTAGGGTCAGGAAACCGGAGACCCACATATTTTTTTTGGCCCAACGGAACTGCGATACGGTCATTAAAGGCGGATTTTCAGTCCTCGCAAGAAGCTCCTCGCAGCTCGTTGCGAGTGATGCATGAGCACTTTCATCCAATCACAATGCTAAACCGTTAATTTTAATTAGATGCAAGCACTCGCAGCGAGCTGCGAGGAGCTTCGTGCGAGGACTGGAAGTCCGCCTTAACAGAACCCTTGGGGAGATAAAAATAAAAGCAATATGGCGTAAGGTACGAAAGCATTTGAACGTCTGAAAAAGCACGAATTTCATTATGCTGACTTCACTATGTCGACTTTGCCCCAGTAGCTGTAATCTAGTCCGTGAAGAGTCATTGTGAATGTCAACCACAATGCATTTGTTTACATCTTACCTTCGGAAGTGACAAATAGCAACAACTGACGGATTATAAACATTTGTTTGGTGCAATTGTAGTATAAAAAAGTTAAAATGAGCAAGTATAACCATTGGATGGTAGTAATATATTATGGATTTAAAACCGAAACATCTATTATTCCGCCATTAAAATGGCCGCCAAGCAGGTTTGGGCGCACAATGCATTGTGGTTGACAATGACTTTTTAATTAAAAATGCCCTATATTTCCCAAATCGTCCGTTTGGTTAGTCCAGAACACGTTTGGGCAAATCTCTTTGTGTTCGTAAAAAAACTATTGCATATATCAATCATGAGACCGTCGTTGAGTAAACTTTTGAAATGCTTGTTTTATTAAAACAAATTTACAACAGCAAATACTGCATCGTCATCAGTCATACAGGATAATCCAACAATTGAACTCAATTTACAACTACGAAATGGTTAAACAAATTAATTCGCTCGTATAACTACGCTCTACAGGAAAAATTACATGTCCCAAATAAAAAATCATTTTTAAAGATAAAAAACAAAAGTCTCAGAAAAATATTTGAAACGTGTCCGGGATTAATTATCGTCGTCTACGTGGAAATCTTTAAATAGTTTGATGACTTTATCGACGTGTTTTCGTTTCAAAATATCTTTCCACCAATCAACTTTCCTCCAGCGTCCATCACGTGACGTTCTTTCGGTTGGTTGCCATGAAGATTTAGTTGTTTCCCACCACCATGGATATTCAGTGCCTTCTTCCCAACGTTCGGTACTAGCTGTTGCTTTCACTTCCCACCATGGCCTCCAAGCTATCAAACAGAAAATGATAAAGTATTTTTGTTAATCACAGTGCATTACATAGCCTTTTGAAACTACTATTGGGGAGGGAGTGTTGCGTATCTAATATAATCTATATATCCATAGAATCTACTGAACTTTGTTCCATTATAAAGCTCTATGGGACATATGTCTCCCACTGAATTAAATTGTCAATCATTCTAAAATCAATATTTGACGCTGTTAAAAGTAATTTATTAAAGCCTTTACATTTTTCACAATGGAGGAAATGCCATCTCAGTAACCCAAGGCCCCCGCCCCAAATAACAAATCCTGGCGCCTCCCTCATTGCTCTCTAACCTGTTGTGGTATCCCACCAACTTTTGGTGCCTTCCCACCAACTTCTGGTTGTTTGCCTTTGCCATGGATACTCAGTCGTTTCCCTCCAATTTTCGGTAGTAGCTTCTCGTGTTGGTTTCATTTCCCACCAACGCCTCCAAGCTATCAAACAGAAAATGATATAGTATTTAATAGTTAGTTAATCACACTACATTACATTGCCTTTTTAAACTCTACATTAGATAGCTCATTTCATGGTTTTTAAGGACCGTACAAACCCTGCCTGTCTATTTAATTCTCTCTATTAATTTAATTAATACACAGGCGCAAATTCGATAAAAAAAATCGGGAAGAGATGGAAAATTGGCAGCAGATAGTGTTGCGTATCTTGCGCGCATCGCCTCATAGACTCCACTGAACTTTGTTCCATTATAAAGCTCTATAAGATTTGTATGTGTGAAATCAATATTTTGACATTGTCAATAAATTGGTGATTTATTAAGACCTTCACATTTTTTACCAAGTGCCTCTACAAATGCAAGAAATGCCATTTCAGAGGCCCAAATTTATTTTTTCGAGAGAGCATGCTCCCGGATACCCCCCCCCCCCTCCTGGCGGCGGCACCAATCTCTAACCTTTTGTCGTGTAGGTATCCCACCAACTTTTGGTACCTTCCCACCAACTTCGAGTTGTTTGCCTTTCCCATGGATACACGTTCGTTTCCCGCCAATCTTCGGTTGGTTGCGGTGGATACTCAGTTCCTTCTTCCCAACTCTCGGTCGGATATTCGGTCCCTTCCTGCCAGCTTTCAGTTGTTGTGTTTGTCGCTTCCCACCAACTGCGCGTTGGTCTGTTCCACCAGCTGCGAGTTGGTCTGTTCCACCAGCTGCGAGTTGGTCTGTTCCACCAGGAATTTTCAGTTGTTGTGTTTGTCGCTTCCCACCAACTGCGAGTTGGTCTGTTCCACCAGCTGCGAGTTGGTCTGTTCCACCAGCTGCGAGTTGGTCTGTTCCACCAGCTGCGAGTTGGTCTGTTCCACCAGGAATTTTCAGTTGTTGTGTTTGTCGCTTCCCACCAACTGCGAGTTGGTCTGTTCCACCAGCTGCGAGTTGGTCTGTTCCACCAGCTGCGAGTTGGTCTGTTCCACCAGCTGCGAGTTGGTCTGTTCCACCAGGAATTTTCAGTTGTTGTGTTTGTCGCTTTCCACCAACTGCGAGTTGGTCTGTTCCACCAGCTGCGAGTTGGTCTGTTCCACCAGTTGTTCCACCAGGAATTTTCAGTTGTTCTTGTTTGCCACCAGTATCTGGTTGGATTCCACCAATTTTCTGTCGTATACGTATCCCACCAATATTTTGTTGGACGCCACCATCTTTCCCTGGGCTGCCAATCTATTCGTATGGAAATAATCATATATAAATCATACCAAATTTCGAATAATAATGCCATCGTGAAATCAGGGCCGGAACTACTGGGGGAGGTGTGGGGATTGGGTGTGTAACACCCCCAAAGTATAGTAAAAAAGGGGGCCCAACTTGCGGAGAGGGGCCCTGGAATGCTGGAATTGCGGAACGTGTTAAATATTAATGAATTTTCTGGAAAATTGAGGTCGAGAAATGCCTGAAAAACTACATTAAAGCCCCCTTTATGTAAAACTATTGTTCAAAATTTTTTTGGGGACGTTTTGTGAGGTGTCATTATCAGACAGAAAGTCATCATCAGACAGAAAGGAATACAATACTTAGTACTTCATATCAACACCAGCCCCCTCTCCCTCCTCCTCCCCCCCAAAAAAATATGGCAATAAAGAAATTGGGTGTCAAAGAAGAAATAAGTGCCAATCTCGTAAACAAAAGATATTTTGAATAAACATTTTGAATGAACTTACAAACTTTAAATATTTGTGTCAAGTAGTTGTGCCATTCAAATGAGTGGATGATTAAATTAGTTATTAGCTTCTGCATAATTATTTACTGTAAATTATTAATAAGTAATAGTATTGTTTCTCGTGTATAATTTTGAAAAACTTCAAAAAACCGTTCAAAACTTTTTCGATTCAAAGACCTCGAATTGGACTCGTGCAATTTGCGGGTGGCGAATGGGCCATGTATTTGCCGCGCTTGATCGTGCGCAAACACGCGTGGACGACTATATAAATAAGTAATTAGGCTGCGCAGTATAGTCTACCAACCTTCTGTTGTAGTATTTGCTTCCCAAGGATATTCAGTCGCCTCTTCCCAACTTTCGGTTGTTGACCTAGTGCTATTGTCGTTGTATTCCCACCACGGGCTTTCAGTCGTAC